TTTTACAATATTGAATTTCCCTTCTGGGATAAATAAAGTATTTTTCATTTCATTTCATTAACAATCCAAACCTGCAAAATGACTGAAATTTGATACATTCAGTGAAATAACATTTGGAAAGAGAAGGCTGTATGATTCTCAGTTTTACACACTGTCCTTGGGCTTGACTGAGAAGGATGCCAATGAGCATGCTCTATTGGCCCATACCTGCAGAGGCAACAGGAAATCTGTGTACATCATGGAGGAGCTTAGAGACTATTTTTTAGTGTGTGTGATGTGTTCACATCCCATTTACTTTTATATTTATCCTTTAACCACAAACATTAACATAAAACATTTCTAGAATAATTTGCATTCTTTAATGTTATGCAACAAAGCAGAAGTGGTGCAGCCACATGAGACTTGATGGGAAAAAATGCACTTCATTGGCAGTTTATTAGGTGCCTCTTGTTCAGACATTCCCAAGCATTCCCAATTCAAAACAAATCCAAAACACTGTACTTTATTAACCGTCTGATAATATTGCCTCTACTGCATTTGCTGTCATCCTTTCAACTATCCAACCTTTCAACAAAAGATCGCTGCCCAAACAAACTGCTCTGCAGCCTTTTATTAACACTTATTCCCAGCACACCTTTACGCTACACTTTTTAAAATTAGCGCTTTACACTACAGCCTCAGGGCTTAGTGTCCCTGACACCAATATTATAATGCTTCAGAAAATATGATTCACAGTCTGATCAACCAAGAGTTCAGCAAAGATTAAGCTTAAGGACTTTTCTTTAGCAAATGATTTACACCACACAACAACATTAGTTCATCACTAGTCTGACTCACTGGATGTAGTTTGGAGGTATAAGCCTGACAATGATCAATCATTTTAGTCTGCATTCTACCCCCCTACCACTATCTGTGTGTTACAGTTTTTTCTTGTAACAGGAAACAAGAAGCTCTGGACAGCAACCTACACACTGAAAATGAATGTAGGTAAGTAAGTAGGTTTGGCTGAGGTTTTGGATCGTCAGTCAGCTCTGCTAGTTTTTTTTTTTTTTTTTTTGGTGGATTATCCATTTAATTACAGATCTTGTCTCCCTGCATGCAAATGTTCCACCAAAACAAGTCACTTTTTTGAGGAAGCACAGAAGTTGCCTCATTCACTTACTCTCAAGATGACTGTCACTTGTCTAAGAAATACAAACTACTTGTGTAGCAATCCAGGGGCTGGCAGATCATCACATGCCACATAGCCACTTCACTAACTCTCCAAAACTCTTCATAAAAAGTTTTTCAATTAATTTCCAAAGTTCATACAATAATCATGTTTAAATCACCTGGAAGTACAGCTACACAAATCACTCTGTAGGAGTTGGAAGAATTTAGACCCTCTGTCACTCTCATAGGTGCCTCGCTGCTTGTCTTCTTTTGACATCTGAAGGAGAGTTTGGACCCACAAAGGGCTATTACATGAGACCTACAAACTAAGAGTGTGTTTTTGTCTCTGTTGTCAAACTGCACTTGGAGGTAGCACTGCAGCACCAGCTCAGGGGAGCAGCATTTTTCCCCTGAACCTGTCCTCAGGTACAACTGACCTGCTGAGCCGGAGGGTGAGGACTTGGAGACGGTCGTGGAGAAAGGTCTTCATCCTCGACTCCAGAGTCCTGGTCACTAATGGACAGACCGGCGATGGGAGTGGAGGCGCTAAGAACGTAAGATATTCAGATTAACATGTGACCATTAGCCCATCTGTTCCTCTGACTGGCCTCCTTCAATTCCGATTGTCACTTTTTAAAGTGACCTTCTGTACCTGCTGAAGGTGCTCTGAGCCTCTCTGAAGACCTCCATCTGTCTGCTGCGGACCTCTGAACCGAGTTCACACTGCAGACTCTGACCGTCCACCGGTGCCACCTGCTGTCCATTCACAGGTTATCATGAATCCAGGAGCAGAAGTTTGATCAGCTTCATTCATCAACAAAAAAGGAAGTTTTAAAACACAGTAGGAGCTGTTACCTGGTAGAGCGTAAAAGAGTGGGCGGCAGTCAGCAGCTGGCAGTCCAGCTGTGGTCCTGGTCTGGGAGCTCGACACTGGAAGAACTGAGGAGCTTTGTGAGTCGAACCGAACAGAACCAGCAGGAAAGAGCTGTTTTCTGTGAGAACTCTAAAACAGCAGAAACACTGCAGTCACATACGTGCCAACTAGAAGACTTTGAGAGTTTCTATGAACAACAAAAGACACATCACAAGTATCAGTAAACAAGTACAACATTGTACAGCCTCTTTATATTCACTGCAAATACATGCTGCCACTCACCTGTCCTGGAGGGTGAGGCTGAACATGAACCTCAGACACCAGGCCCACACCTGAGGGTTGTAGGCGTGTGCGACTTCACTCAGCCAGCTGTCAAATGTCAGGAAACACAAAGAAATATCACAGCTGGATAAAGAGAAAATCACAGATTTGTGTAAAAAAAAAAAAAAAAAATCCAGGTTTCCAGAATGGAAAAATTTTCAGAATGCATACAGCTCCTCTGCCCTGCCTCCTTTAGGAAGATCAGATCATAATCTGGTTCTTCTCACCTCTACCTACAAGCCCATTGTTAAGCAGCAGCCAGCCATTAGGAGGACTATTAAAACCTGGTCTACGGAGGCTGAAGATGCTCTGAGAGGATGCTTTGAGGCCACAGACTGGAATGTCCTCTGTGAACCTCATGGAGACAACATCAACACCATGACTGAGTGTGTGACAGATTACATAAACTTCTGTGTGGACAGCATCGTTCCAACAAGAACAGTGACGTGCTTCCCCAATAACAAACCCTGGATCACCAGTGACCTGAAAAAGCTGCTGAACATCAAAAAGAACGCTTTCAGG